AGTTTACTTGTTCATATGGAGCAAAGAATATATCGGCCGTACACAATGTCAAGTCCACAAACGTGTTATAGAACACTGTCCAGCTTGGCAGCAACTCCATCCTCGAACACCTTGTCAACTCTGGATATAGGGCACTTCTATTTGCACGAATGCTTCACAGTGCTACACAGAATCCCTCAATGTTGTACGGAAGGATTTACTTCGAATACACACTCTGTATATAGGTGAATTATTGGCTCTTCAAGATCTCAAAACCTGACCGCTGCATTCAAAAGCACCACATACATTCACTCGCCACCCATCGTACCGTGGAGACAATAACGTCCTCACTATAACTTTGCTTCCTTTTATTATGCAGGTTTACTGTTATTACTATTATTATTGTTGTCATCATCCTTATTTCATTATCACTCTACTACTGTTTATTAATAACATTACGTTTTCAGACAGATTTTATGAAAAACACTTTGTTGTCTTTCCACTAGCTGTTATCCACTCTACACAATTACAACGAACAGTCATTTTCTAACACTTGTTATATCATGCTAATTCCTGTCCTTTTTTCTAATTACCAAACAGTCATCCTTTCTAGATTGCACTTTGCATTATGGAATACGTTTTCGAGGACAAATTTTACCAGTATCTGATTGGTCGTCTTATGAATTCCTCATGAAATATAATTACCGAAAATTCATAAGACAGGATTACCTATCCGTCTAATCCTCGATATGGCGGGTTCTCCTTATCACAGAATCGCTCAATCGCTAGCTAAAATATTGGAACCAGTCAGAATGCAAGTATCTAAGTTTTCCATTGATGATACGTTTAAATTTATTGATAGCACCAAAGATTTTCATGTCTCGGACAAAGTCATGTTCTCATTAGATGTGACGTCACTATTTACCAATGTTCCTCTCATAGAAACTGTTTGCTATATATGTGATTATATTGATACACATAGTTTGGAAATAGGTTTACCGACAATCCACCTCAAAGAGCTTCTATTGAAATGCACGTTGAATGTTCAGTTCACCTTCAATAATGAGATCTATAGACAGATAGATGGCATTGTCATGGGATCACCAATGGGTCCCCTGTTGGCTGATTGTTTTATGATAAAGCTTGAAAATTCTCAACTTAGTCAAACCATCGGTCATTTTGATATTTATAAAAGATACGTAGACGACACTGTCGTTATCTGCGATAATAACGTAATTCTTGATGATGTCTTGTTTGCTTTCAACAACTCCCATCCTTCTTTACAATTCACCAAAGAAAATGAATCCGAACTAAGTATTCTGTTTCTTGATGTGTGTTTTAGCAGACGTAATGACGGATCTTTCAAAAGATCTATCCACTGGAAACGTACATGGAACGAACAGCTAACAAAGTTTTACAGTTGGGTGCCTGTCTCCAGTAAAAAGGAACCTAAATCCTTCTCTCTGCTTTAGGATAAGGAAACTTTGTAGTTCTAATTGCGTTGACTCAGAACTTGACTTCTTAACAACCACGCTCACAGAAAACGGTTACCCTAACCGATTTATTGACAGCAACATGAAAGATAAGCAGTCTAAACTGGTCACCGACTCAGTTCCAAAGAAAACCTTATTCATGAACTTGGAATTCAAAGGTGATCAAGCTTCAGATATGTCCAAAAATTGTCTCTCTAAATCAGTGAGTAAGACGTTCCCTGCAGCAAAATTACATATGACGTTCACTAGCCGCAAGTTGTTCTCTACCTCTGCAAAAGATAAGCTCCCCCGTCTGGCTGCCTTCATGTGCATCTATCAGTTTACCTGCCTCTCTTGTGGAGCAAGGTACATTGGCCGTAGTCAGAGGACGCTTTCCCCACGGATATAAGAACATATTCCAATAGCATGGTTTTACAAGGGAGAAAGGAAGTGTGTGCGAAGCCCTATTCTGGAACACCTGATCGACTTCTGTCACTCTGCCAACCCTGACCATGATTTTAAGATCATCTACCGAATCCATGCTAACTTCCCGTGTTTTCTTTGTTACAGACTTCTAAAGACAGCTGAGGCCTTGGCAATTCATGACTTTAAGGCAGAGCTTTGTGTACAAAAGAAGTATGTACAATCCCTACTTCTGCTTTGGCCGTAGAGGAATAAACAATTATTTATTTTGTTTATTTAGTTATTCTATGTACTTTTCCCTTATTGCTATGATTATTATTAACATTCTCCCTATAAATCTTTTCCACTTAACCCACTTGTCATTCCAAACCCAAAATTATTCATTTGTATACTTTTTATCTTTACAATATTAAATTCTATCTTACCAAATTTCACACCATGTTACTTAACATTTTATATTCGTCTGCTAATCTTATAGTTATATACCTCTTTCCCAAACCTATACACTTTATGTATTATTCTGTATATGAAATTAATTATTTTGCCACTTGACATTAAACCACGATTATAATCACAAATATTTTAATTGCGTTTCATACTATTAATAATTCATGTGTTCCCACCTTTGACCTATTTCCCAACCCCCCCCTCCCAAATATAATTACGATTATATAGCAGCTTATGAATGAAAATGAATCGTCGAAAAGAAGATTCTCTCCGCTGCTTACGTCTTTTACTTATGACTCAATAAGGGAATATTTTGTCCAGAACTTTTCCTATCTCAATATCAAATATCTCCACCATCTAACTCTGTCAACCAGTAACTTAATTATTACAACAGCTGATCAACCAACCAAAAGCGGAAAGCAAATCGTGAAACTAATCAGAACTGAAGCGCGCACACTATCCCTGTTCAAAATTGTGCCAAAGTGTATTATCGAAATCCAAAAAGAAATGGTAGAAAGCGCCCTCACAGTCTACCGACAATACCACCACAATCAACTGTCGTCAACCTCGCTATCATCACATAATCTCAAGTGGACTTCATATTGAAGTATAAGCGTTGGAGTTTATTGTCTAGGCAGAGACAAATGAAAGCTTAGCATCACGAATAAAACACACAGATCAGAGAGTAAGTGTACAACCAGGCGGATCACACCCAAAAACAAAACAACATCAGTACTCTCTCTCTCTCACACACACACTGTAGGGCTAACATCAACCTCTTAATATTCTTTTTAGAAGTAAAAGCAGAAGGCGCCATTCTCTATTTTTCACTACTATAGATGTATAGTTTGACATGTGAGTGCGCGCTCGCAGTGGTGTTATGTATACGATTCAGTGTACACAGTAAAATTATTATTATCACTACTATTATTATGATTATTGCCGTAAATAATCTCATGCTGTGCCTATTCCTTTGATTCAATGGTGCTTACAATGTAAAGAAAGTATACTATTGATTATGTGTCGTCTACACACACACACACACAAATGTTTTGCTTTGCAAGGAATATTAAGAAGTCGTGTATCACAACAACATCAACATCAACACAAACATACTCCACGAGCACATGACTAAGTATTTTCACAGGAATCAATCCCTCTCTCACACACACACACAATTGACATATATAATAACCAATTCACATGTTGAATTGTGCTCTATAAATAAATAAATAAATAAACAATGTGTCTCACTAGAAGCTAAAATTGTTAACAACTAACTAGAGTAAAAGGTGACGATTAGAAATCAAACGATTTGTAGAGGGAGATCTTCGATTCATTATAATGACTGACTGACTCTCAATGACTGACTGATCTCAACATAGAACGCATAGCACAGATGTGCACCAATTCCAGTTGCTACACACCCCACCACTCCATATACCACACAAATCAGGAGAAGAGAGTACACAGTGATTCAAAAGAGGCGGGGGGAGGGAGATGATAAACAGAAATATGAAGTAGATGCGACTTCTCAAATAAGAAAAATGGGACCAACACGCTCCACCAACCACTTCACTGCCCATCTTTGAGCTACGAGTCAGCGTATTCCAGTTCTGTAGCAGCATCTTACAAATCACACGAGACAATCACATGCCAAACAATCGAAGATGGCTGTTCCTCAAGGTATTCCTTCAGAAGACTCTCAACTTTGTCGGTGTCTTCACCTAGAACAACTATATCATCCTCATATTCGAAGTAAAAAAAAAACACTACTTATTCTCTCGTAACAGGTCTATCCCTGGGTAGCTGAAGTCAGCTAGGGTTAAGTCCATTAGCACATACATCTACGATGAAATTAAACAGAAAAAATGGGGACAATCGGTATCCCTGACGGACACCACATTGGTTGTCACAAGTACAATGGTTAAATATTCATCATAGAGCTAACATTTCAGTTAAAGAGTCATCTCATTGAAAAGCAGTAAGGAGCACTGAAGTAACAATGTCACCAACCAGTTCAATGATGACTACTGCTACTATTACGGCGGCGACTGGACGGATTTCCTGAAGCTCTCTGTACAGAGAAGTGGGGTGACCAGCTGGGTGAACAAAATCACAAGGGGAATGGGATGTTCAGGCATGTGGAGGCATTGTTTGAAGGCAGTGCTATATCACCGCCCCCCCCCCCCACCACCACCACCACCTCCACGGGTCACTGAGAATTCCAACCCAAGGGGTTCAATGGTCAACGGGCTTCATCTCATAGCCTGAAAGCCCTGAGTTCAATCCCACCCTGGAAGGGTGGGCGATGGTGAAGAGTCTCAGAATAAGACAAATCACCCGTCCACTGCTCTCTATCTCTCTTTAACTGATGTTCGTTGGTTGAAAAAGTCCAACTATTGTAGATAAGAAATGACGACACCAATAATAGTCAGTTGCAGGAATTGGTGAATACAGCTCAGAAAAAAGGATGTGTGTCAACCATACTAAACTCGAAAAGCTTCCAGGATAATAAGATTGAGGAAAAAATACTCAGATGGTAAATAGACTAACTAACTAACTAACCCTTCAGTGGTTGAGACTGACACTCTGTCAATAATAATTAGTTACAATTAGAAATATGACTAAATGTGAGTGAGTATACAAGAAATAATTGTATCAAGACAAGTAACTTACAGCAAATACTGAAGTTAGAAAGCCCAGTATCAATCCAGCTAAAACATCCGTCGCATGATGATAGTGATCAGTTACACGAGTAGCGCACACATAGATCAAACTAGCGATTAGTGCATACTGAATGAATGGTCGAAACAAAGGCAATGGAGGCAACTGCAGGCGAGCTTGGAGATATATCTGTCAGAAGGAGAAGAAAACACACAGAGAGAAGACAGTTTAGTCGTGGTGGCGGTGGCGGTGCTGCAAAAAACTACAAGTTTCTCAATATCACGTTTAAGAGAGAAATGGACATATATTTGATGAGTGGAAGTCGTTCAGAACTGTCACACACACACACACATCTATGAAGCGTTAAAGTAATGCCAACTGCACTCAGTGACAGTGACTCATTCATTCAACAATAACGTTCTGCGATGTTCTTACTCAATACTCTGCTTCCTTTGATGCTGGAAACTTCTGTACAGTTTAACACAATACATATTTTCATGTGTTATACTTCACAGCTACCGCAGATAGCACCCAAACAGACTGATTCCTCATGAAATATCACCGTGGATGCAAAAGCCTCGTGTGCCACTGCCAATTTACACCATCTCTCTCGCTTAGCAGACGTGATATCCGGTTGGCTATCGATCAAACGAAGTGTGTGTGTAACCTTGCTCCATCCTCCTTTATGGCTAGCTGGCTGGCTGGCTGTGAGTCATGGCCATTGGAAGTGGAAGGCATGAAAAGGCTGCATGTCTTTTACCACAGATGTCTCCCGTGTCCGATGGTATAACATGTACTGAATAATAATTGGGGTAAGGAGGCAAAGTTAATCACTGATGAGGTTGTGAAGCAGTGACTTCGATTTCGACGGCTAGGACGTGTGTCACACACACCCCACACTTTCACATGAGATTGAGATCAAATTATTTTCGAATTGAACTTTCATGTTCAGCTCATTCACTTTTCACGTTGCATCACAAAATTTAGGTCCAAGTGTTAAAAGTTGCATTTGAATCGGTGATGGTGAGACATCAGAATAATTGAACACGTATTTTTCTGGCCAAGTAAGAGAAATCGTTTCTTTGGTAACAACACACTTTAGACTTTGGTTTAGTTTCATTATAACTTCCCAAAAATGAGAATTATCTTCGCTGCAACCGTCTTTTTAATAATTGTTATCATCCAATGTGTGTATTCCATGACTGGACCTTATCAAGTCGTTTCTATTCGATCTTCCTGATTATTACACTCTGAGATTCCACCAATTTGACCTTTGACTGGAAATAATTCTGGAAATTTCCCACACATTTAATACAAAATACGCAAATCTACAGCCTAGTTGGTGATTTCGTTGAGAAGTATATTTACCTCGCTGTAACCCCATTTTTAATCATTCATATGATCCGATGTGTGTATTCCGTAATCGCGTATTTCTAAAATTCTTCCGACCTATCCTCAAAAATGAGGAAAAAACATCACTGTGATTAGCAGGCGTGCATTCATCGAATGTACAGAAATTAATCGTATCACTCACTGTCCTTCAAGTTGTCAGTACTAGCTGCAGGTCTCTGCCTAACAAAGCCGACTACTACCTCCAATCTCTAATATCCCCAAAATGTGTATCGAAATGCTGGTCTTTTAACTATCTATACAAGAGACTTGGCTCCACCAGAAAAACATGACGACAATCTAAATTCCCCATCACAACAGACACAGTTCAAAGAAAAAGCATAACGGAAGCGTGGCTACTTTCATTAATTACAAAGTGGTTTACATTTAGTCAGGTGTTTCAATTCCTCCAGTCACAATACAGACTGTATCACTGTTAGGTGTCGTCCACAGCATTTAAGTAAATATTCCTACATATATACACACAACAAATGCTTATGTGACTCCAGACGGTAGCTCCTCTGACGAATTCACTGAATTCGCTCCTCCTAATTTTAGAAATTCTCTGCCAATAGCCTGTGGGAACCATAATTCTTGTGATCACAGCCTTCTCATATCATATGGTCACAAGAACTTTGTCAAATCCAATACTTGTCTGCACAAAACACCCACTAGACTTGCTTTTCATAGACGATCGCGACATTTGTGAGGCGAGAAGGAGAGCTCCACACCTGAATTCTGCCCATTGCATTGTTCGTATTATACGGAAAGTGTATGGCAAGTTACACAGAAGGGCTATATTATGACCCCGAAAAGAAAGCATTTTGGAAAGGCAAATCATATGCGAATCAAATCGCAACTCTACAAATCATCATCGAACACAGCATACAATGGCAATCGAATCTTCCTCTACCTAGACTTCTGAAAGTCCTTCGACAGTGTTGACCGAAAATTTATTTGCAAACTAATTCAACACTATGGAGTGTCCAGTGCCCCAAATCGTTATTAACCTCGTTCAACAGCTAGCTCTATGTGGTAGTGCCACATATCATAGTTATATATAGTCCACAAAGGAAAACTCAGAGGAATCTTTGAAGTGAAGACACGGGTAGGACAAGGCTGACTAACAACACCAACATTGATATCCATAATTGTCGTCGACTGGAGTATGCCGAACACCGTGAGTGGAGGAGAGTTAGAAGACGGGAATACGCTTCACTGACTGATAAGAAGACTTTAGAGGATCTGGAAACATCACGGATAATTTATATCTAGTGTCACTCATATAAATCCGAAGATTTACGGACGCGCAAACCAACGAACTGGCTGAAGAGGTTGACAGTAAAGACAGGACTCCATCCACGTGAACATACAGAAGACGGAGGTGATGAAAATGCCCAGCTAACAACAACAACAACAACAACCAATCACTATCAGCCGGTGAAATCGGAAAGCGATCATTTCCTTCACTTATCTGAGAGGCAGTAACTTTTCAACTACAGACGGTATACGGCACAGATGAGGGAGGATGTCGAAACCAACCAGACCAGAATCTGAAAGACAAGACAGACACCTTCACCAGTTTATAAACCTTCTGCACTCCGCCTCAGCATAAACAACAACAATCACATTATCAACACACCCATGTTAAATCAGTTAGTGCTTCTATGTGGGTCAGAAACTTGCACTGCGTGACAGTCACGAAAAGCATCTCCAATAGACTACACGACAGGCTTTTATTAACAGCTGCTGGCTCCATGCTGAAGATCAGCTTAGCAACAAGAAACTCTGGAAACGAACCAATCGACAACCTGCTGTTCAAAAAATATCCCAAAGCAAAATGGAAACGGATTCAACACACACACACACGCACGCATACACTGAGACACGGTTAAGTGACATCGCGTGCAATGCAGGCCATCCATCACTGGAGTGAAATTCAAATAGAGAACGAGGAGTTGGACGTGTCCGGGGGTGACACGGAAGCGATCATGTGAGCAGAAGATCAGAACCGATGGACAGTCGTTCAGCCAACAAGAAGAGGAGTACTGAGAACAGGACAAAATGCAAATGCTGTGTTGAAGACTCACACGTTCCCCCTGGGAACCTATCAGTCAACATCAAAAGCACAATAAATTAACATTAATAGGCAAGCACAAAGGCTTATTAATTTAAAATGTAACTTCAAAAAATTATGACAACACATACCACAGAGAAAAATACACCTGCAGCGGCTGTTGATGCATGACCAGATAAAAATGATAAGCTAAACAAAATTTTAAAAAATTTTATTATCATTATTATTATTTAAACACAAACAAACTTGGTACAGCATGGCACCAAAAATAATGATAAAACATAGATAAAAAGTAAAAATATGGGTGGAGAACGGATAAAGAACATCACCTGGAGGGAGAACAGTCATACTTAACAAGTTCAAACAGAATTCGTCAACTATTGCAGCACATTCGCCATTGATTACGTTTCTTGGTCATATTCAACTACATTTTGAGCCATCGATCCGAGCTATGTCTCGGACTCCAAACAGGGAGTCGTCAAGCACCAACCAATGCTAACCTAACACAAATATCCTTCGTCCCACGACGCCTTCACCTACCTCTCCGAATTTTCCATCCCGTCCCAGGGCTGGCCAGCGAACACAGACCTGTACGGAAGCCCATGGGATGATATTCGCAGCACATGTACAAGCCACCGAAGCCGTGTGTGTGTTTCCAGATGACCATGATACTCAACGAATGGTGATCTCCACTGTGTCCAAACACACGCCACCGGAACTCAGAATTACTCACGCGATGTTACCGTCGAACGCAAGCAACCCCCTTCGGAGACAGCGATAGTCGAATACGCAGAGTCGCCGTACAGCCAGACAAACGTCGCCGACGCTAGAGGTGGCTTGAGTTAACGTATGCCACCCTAACCATGATACGGTTGGAAATGTCATCCGTCATCCCTCCACCAGCACCCCCACAACTACCCAAATACACAAACTTATCGAAAACTTCAAGCGGTTCACCCTCAGCAAGGGTGAGTGCAGGTACAGGCCCCTGCCAATTTTGTAACAGTACTAATTTGCACTTAGATGGCTCAAAGCACTTATCATACTTACAGACACTGATCGCCAACTGACTAAGTGTGGTTTCGGCAGCCTGCATGCCATCACACAATAAGACACCATCTGCATGCTTGAGGTCGAAAAGTTTCTCTTCAGGGAGATCTACACCACATTCAGAGTTGACTTAAGAATGTCATTGATGGCACAGTTAAAGAGAAATGGGAAGATCGGAAAAACCTGTCTAACTTCACTGTTTGTTAGGAACGGTGATGATAGTTGGTTGTATGCCTTCACTCTACCTGAGGTGTTTCTCCATAGAGCTTTCAGGATATTAACAAACTTCTCAAGTACACCCCTCTCTAACAGACAGTTCCAGAGCACAGTTCTTTCCAACAAATCGAAGGCAGCCTTAATATCAATAAACACAACGATTGTTGGCCTGCAATACGTGTGGCAGTGTTTCAACAACTGACGAAGTGTGTCTAATCTTGCGCGTGAGCACCTTTCGCATATTGTTATATTCACTGCCAGCCGGAATAAACCGACGTTCACCAGGATTTTCAAGGAACTCGCAGAAACCTAGTGGTTTTTAGCGAAGCATTCTTTTTAGCTGCAAGCGGCTACACTCGCCCTTTGAATGGCACCCTGCAGATGAAGTCAATATTCACCTATACTACTTGGGGGATTGTTAGCGAGAATTGATTGTAACTCATTCTGGTATTTCAAAGAAGTAGCAGGTGCTACCAGTTTGCTCAAATCAATATTTACATGACGTCGTTTATGAACCCCACAAAATCGCGAGACGAACCTGGAACACACTAACGCATGACCGGAATCCAGGCATGTCCTCCCAAAGGAGCGGCAGTCTTGTATGCATCCTCGCCACCGGAAACTGATAGCAATATGATCAATCTGAGTTCAAGCTTAATTCGCAGAGGGAGGACGCCAGGTGGCGCTACGGCGATGGCTGTGACGCAAGTTGGTGCTGACTAGAAATAGGCTGTGATCTGCGCAAAGCTACAGAAAACGCTCCCAATTATCCTACCTGCGACCATGTAAATCCAATTGACCACCTAGACGATTCTCCTCTGAGCTTACAAGCCAGAACTGTGCATTCAAGTCCTCAGCCAGCACTACGATATCTCTCTGAGGAACCGGTTTCAAGAGATCACTCAGTTGGAAGTAGAACTTATCCTTGAATGCATCCGAGCTGAAATCCATCAGTGCTTAGGCAGAGACAACGGATAGGCAACGCCCGTCTGGTCTACAACTCCTTACTTTCGTATAGCCCTCCAGTCTCACAGCATATGAACAACTATCAGTGGGGATGCAGTCGAGTGATGCAGCTCCGGTCCTAGCGCTTAGTGCAACACCAACACCAGCTACGCCGAATGCCGACGCCACAGGGTCCCCGGACAACCGCAGGTGGTACATACTACTAGAACTTTCAGATGGAGAGGATAATCGAAGCACTTCACTGGAATCTTGAATGTGTTTCTCCGAAATGCAACAGACATCGATAGCGAGGTTTTCCAATGTTCTCACCAGACCTCCATGTTGTCCGGTTCGCATTAGTATCCAAACATTGTAGGTGGCCAGCTTGAACGCGGCACGCCGTTTCAGGATATCTAAGTTAGATGTTCCACTGGGAACAACCATTTTGAAGGCTACTCACTAACATCTTGAAACGGAACACATAGGCTGGGAATTCAGACAAAGGCGATAGCCTGGTGAAAGCGAAGACGTGCAGGCTACCAGAAGTAAAATACAGGAGTTCATGTATAAAAATAAAAGTAAATTTGGAAAGAAATATGTCACTTGAAACATCATTATTGTTTTAGAGCATTGTTAAGAGCGCACGATAAGTTTCACTGACAGTTTCATTGGTTGTATGAGGGTTGAAATACTGCCCGGGCGCCCAGACCGAAACAAATCTTAATGGACCACCCCGCGAGCCCTTGACTTGGAGTCTAGTCCGCAAGGCAGCGGAACAGCATCAGGAGCTACGTTCCCATGGATTCCCGTGACCAATACAGGTTCATACGCCATTTGATCCGATTGGATTCTGGAGCCCATGTACCCAGCGGTAACCGCTTTTAGTCTAACCACTATCTAAACAACTTTCCTCACATGGACGTGCATGCAGGGACATCAGTTCCAGACAGTTTAGCTTGTTGGGTCACTGCAGTATTCAACCCCAACCACAACAACAGGGGAGCAGTTGTAAGCCGCGCAGAACAAAAAAGAAAAGGCATAAACGCATTACTAACAATACACAGTAGAGTAAACACACAGAGAAAATTTGCAAAGCTAAGAGTATCACCTATTTTACGGCAAATCACACTTATATATATTGGGGCAATGATGACTGACTGACTGACCGACCGACTTATTGTGAAGTGAGAATTCGACTTGTCACAGAGATACAAATACCCTGTTTTTGTTAACGGAACTAAGTTGACAACTAGTCAATCGTATTCAAATGACACTAAATGCTTTAAAGTAGATAGATGCGCCTTTGGTCTTTCTTCTTTTGCTTGCTTTCTAAGCTCGGTTATCCAATTATGCGGCGCTTTCGCTGCTCTTTTGAACAAAATCTTCAGAGATAACTTCCATGTAAAACTTCACAGAAAGACTTCACATGTTGTTTAACAAAGAAACTATACAGCAGTGTTACATACACTGGAGGGCTGCACCGAGGAATCTGTTGACAAACAGCTACGAAATTTCCAAAGAATCTCTGGATGGAAAACACTTCCCCATCCAGATTCATAAACAAGAACCTGAAGCCAAAAACAAAAGCTGCTGAACAGTTCCAGGTTACCCCACCCCACTCCACCCCTCCACGCACACACACACACATACACACCCAAAAGTACCCTGATCCTGGATCCAGAATTTAAAAGTGATACTCAAGCAGAAATTATCTGAAGACACTTTTTAAAATCTCTCTGCCAAACGAGTAACAATTCTTTCCTCCAAGAAACTATTCGACTAGCACGTGAAAGACAAGCTGTCGTCGCATTGGGTCGCATCATTAACACTCACGTACCAATTCACTTGCTCTTGTGAGGTGCTCAATACACTGACCGTATCATACAGCCGTCTGTAAAACACACTCAGGAACACCATCCACCCAGTATGGCTAAGAAAGAGAGAACAGAACACATCTATCTGGTGAACTCCAAACAATCATCTCCAATTGAAAAGCCCTTTAAAATCCTATACAATAGCTGATTATATCTCTGAAAGGGAGTGAAATCAGAATATCCACAAACAGCTGACGTGCTACCACTAACTTAAAATCTCGAGCCAATGCTACTACTATGTATTCAAAAGAAGTACATCCAACTTTTGTCTTTCCTTTAGCTATTATAGACAGTCAATTCTCTCAATAGTGATTATCCCCCATCACCTATTGTTTATCCAAACTTCCTGTTTACTATTTTAGTGCCCAATGGTATTCTTGTTAACTGTTATAATTGAACCCTTGAACCAAAACTGTTTAGGAACTTTCCCCATCCCCTTACTATATATGTGGAGAGAGAGAGAGAGAGACAAATGGACAAATGAACAGCCTGTTTGATGACTTTGTCAAAAGGAAATAAAACATTTCCGTCGCTGCAACCGTCCTTTTTTCCAATTTTTCCTTATCATCCATTGTGTATATTCGCTAACAGCAACGATTCTCCGCCCCGTCTCCTCCACCCTTGAATCATTAGTCTTTCACAAAAGTCTCTCACGTCTGGTTTTCTGTCTAGCTAATGTATATTTCGCCAACTAAAAACTCATGACTGAATCCCAACCCCGTTTATTACTGATTACTAGTAATAACCAGCAATACCAGTTACCATTATGTTTGCTGGTACGAAGTAACTTTAACTGCTATGAAAGTGCTATTTCTCTTTTCATTTCAGAGACAAATTTTCAGATAAGGAAGTCGCATAGCATCAGGCCTACCTACATTAAGTAAGATACTTTCTTATTCCTTTATCTTCCCCTTAATGGAACACACAGACAGGGATGACGTTGTTGCTAACCTCAGACCCAAACCTTCCCTCTTTACCGGTCCTACTATCGGACTTTGCAGAGTTCAAGAGTGCATCAACAGGGAATCGAGCGCCCAAAGCACATGGGGCGTGGTTGACGAGCATTCAACCTCTGTGCCATCCACGTACTCAGTAACATATGCATTGTCTTCAAATGAAAACAAGCATTACACACAACTCAACTGTTTTATGTTGAAGTGTAGAGTGATAACAGACCTTGAAGCTAACAGCGCTGCTAACTGGTATTATTTGAAGTCACGTCATTGGCTTGGAAGTTAATTCAAACAGTGATTTTAATCCAATAAATAATTACAGGCTAAAAAGCAAAAGATTGAGCAGAGAATATCCTTTTCGATAATTTCCTCTTCCGGCTCTATAGTTACATATATTATTATTATTCTAGAATAGTCGTCATTAACAATATTGGTGTTTTTCTAAATAATATCGATTCGTTAAATAAGACCAATGGAATCACCACAGTTCACTAAAGATGCATAAATTATAATAAGTATACAAATATAGTAGCAAAAATAGAATATCAAATAAAATTAAGGTAAGAACAATGTCTGAACCAGCTTGTTTTGGATACATAAGTTAGGTTTCTTAATGTGGATCGCAACGGCCACAGCGATATGTAGTAAACGAACTCTTAAGGTACAGTTAAGACTAGCCAGTATTCGGTAGATGACTTTGAAAGCCTCGTTAACATCAACCTTGAGTTCTTTATCCACAAGAAGAGATAGAATAGAGCTTTGAATGGATTTTGTTTGTCCTTTATTTAATCACACAGGGTGATGTCCGAAAATTCGACGAGAAACAGAATAAATTAATTGTACTGCCTATGCAACTAACTGGCTCACTCCACAGGAGCAGTTAAATTGGTAGATACACATAGAAGTGGCGAAATTAGGCAGTTTATCTTTAACTCCCAAACGCAAAAGAAGAGTGGTTTTGGAGACACCGCGTAATTCAGCAGCACTGAATGCTCTTTTTACCGCATTTCTGACGCGTTGTGTTAATATCTCGCTGATGTTATCCCCAAGGAACTGAAGTTGTGAGAGCATTGCCTTCCTTTTACGGAACTGTCGGTTGATGCTTTGGCCTGTCTGTCTGCCTACTTGCCTTGACTTTTGATTCATATTCTTATCGATGAATTCTTCTGGGTAACCATTCTCATTCAGCAACTGTCTAATAACATTAATCTCTTCTTAAGGCATTCATCAGGGAAGATTGAACTTGTTCTCTGAACCAAGCATTTTATCAGAGTGTGTTTGTGAGTTTCGAAGGTACAAAACTGAAAAACTGAGCATACTGACAGTCAGTTGATGTAGGTTTTCTATATACTTCTTCTATATACTCCTATTGTACCATCCTCTTTCCTAATCATAAGGACGTCTACAAAAGTCTTTTCTTTGTCGATAGTAAAATTTATCGTAGACTGAAAATCGTTAAATTTGTCTAGGATGTTCTTTGCTCCATCATCACTTTTAGTAATCAACAATGTGCTATACATGTAACGACAGCAGAATTCTAGTTCATCAATTACGTCTTTCAAAAGGCCCATTCTATGTTTTTCAATGAAAATATCGGCTACAGATGGTCCTAGTGGTGACCCCACTGCCATACTATCAATTTGTCTGCATAGTTCCTTATTAAATAAAAAGTGAACATTTATTGGGCATTTCAAGAGAATCTCCTTTATAAAAGACATATGAGGGTGCCAACACCGATGTTTCGTCTTATGAGTTCTTCGCATACAAAGTCCACTGTTTCCATATGTGGTACATGAGTGACTAAGAAGGATACGTCAAATGCTATTATGAATTTATTGTCAACATTTAAATCTTTTATCCTTTCAATACATTGAAACGTATCTTTTACGCTGTGTTTCACCAATTCAGTATGTGGTGGCTATAAGAGTTCGACTAAACATTTAACTACGGGATGGTATGGTGAATTTGACATATCTAATACAAATTATGAAGAAAATATGATTAGTTATAGAGATATTTATCTATGAAAATAAAACTACTTACAAAACATCATGAATTAAATCTTCTCTGGTGCCCTGACATGTATACACCGTTTGTAGTCCTGTACAATTAAGCGGAACATTCGGTTGACACACATCCCAAAAATGCGGTCTCAATCGACCTAGATAATACTTTGTAAGTGTTGTCAAGAAGAAAGCAACTCCGTGTGACACAAGAGAAGCAATACAAAAGTCATAAATGAATGGCAGTGACTAAAAAAATAGGATAATCCAATGTTAGGACAAATTGATACAACTTACACTTTTCATTGAATAACCCCTTTCAGTTATCTTTCTAAATATTGCTGTGCCTATCTCCACTATGATAATCTTTAGAAATCGAATGAAAATGAAAGAGTTTACATCAACTAACTAACTGACTAACTTACTATAACGATTGGTGTTAGATAACCATATAAGGTTACTGCTAGCGAGGATACAGTATTGCCTTTATACGGATATTTAATGCTCCAGTCATCACAAAAGAAACTCCATTTACGACCGCCAAAAAGTTTAATCACGAAGTAGACTGCGTGAACTGATATTTAAAATACACTGATGAAAGTATATACATATATCAACCTACGCAGACCGATAGTCAATAAGTCAGACGTAGCGCGAAGAAATAAAGGAACATTCAGCTTTGGTCTGCTACACTGTGGAGCACAAGCCATTGACAAAATATATTGCGAGTTTCAAATGATCAATCTCTTTTATCTACAATAACAGAATTATATGTATGAGTTGACGTAATTGTTATTTAAAAATGCTTTGACAATAGAAATTATAATTAGATACGATAGAAAATATTTGTAGCTCACGTAGATGATTTTGATGTGGTTGTGTTCTCTGAGCTGGATAGTTAATTTGTAAAGCTTTCATCGCCCTACTAGGTGATATCTTCAGCGCACACTTCAGTTTGAATTGAAGTGAACTTTTAGATTACTCCACGAGTTTATTAATCATCTCACCTGGTCGGTGATCTTGGATGTGATTGGTTGTTTTTGTTTGTGTGTTTTAACAAGAGAAGAAAGAGGAATTCGGGAACAAAATCCCATTTTTGGACGTCTTAGTCAAGCGAACAACCACAGGAGAATTAGAAACTCGTTTATAGAAAATCAACTCACACGGAGACAAAATACTGAATTACAACAGCAACAACCCAATAACACACAAAAGGAATTGCATACAAACACTATTCAAGAGGGCAAGGACTCATTGCAGCACTCCCACCTTAAGGAAAATAGAAGAAAAATATCTCATGGAAGTCTTCCAAAAGAATGGATATCCACGGAATTTCATCAAGAGACATATACCCCCAAGCCAACCTATCAAACCAAAAGCCACCAAGGAAAGCACAAGGAAAATCTCCCTACCATATATAAAGGAAATCTGAGAAATCACTGTAAGACTCTTCAAACCTTTAGGAATTGACATCACACACAAACCAACAAAATCACTTCATTCAGTTCTATGTCAACCAAAAGACTCAACAGAGAAAGAAGATAAAACCAACATCATCTACAAAATAAATTGTAACAACTGCGAAAAACACTACATTGGACCAAAGTGGACGTCCCTGCTCATCGTCTCCGTATCCACGAACATAAGCTAGCCATCAAGAGACATGACACCCACTCCCTCATATCACTACATACAGACAAACACGAACATCAATTCGACTGGGACAACCAACGTTCAGATATTAGACAGAGGAAATACCAAGAATGCTAGAGAATTTTTAGAAGCCTGACTGGTATTCCGGTGAATCATCAATCAATAGACACATCGAAAGAGACAAAATCTACCGACGGATAAGAAGGGAACCTCACACACACAAAGGGTCAAAGTTCAATTCAAAAAAACAATCAGTTCCAATACAAGCAGCCTAGAGGGTGTGAAAACACACAAAAACAACCAATCACCTCCAAGGTGGTCACCAGGAGAGATGATTAATAAACTCGTGGAGAAATCTAAAAGCTCACTTCAATTCAAATTAAAGTATGCGCTGAAGATGTCGCCTAGTAGGGCGATGAAGGCTTCGCAAATTATCTTCAGCTCAGCTCAGAGAACACAACCACATCAGAAATTATAATTATATAATACCCCATGAACACTGTTCACCCCATCAGTGAAAGCAACAAAACACTTTTTCAAAATATAACTAGTTTCAGTGCGATATTATTAAGCAGAAAGTGGATTAGTACTCTATACACTCCCGTCAATTACTCCCAAATTTCTAGTGAAAACAATAAAAACAAAAAAACAAATCAAAAATACCAAGCTTGCTACTAACCTAGCTAAATAACTTTGAAGGAGAAAAGATTATTCCGTAAGGTGTATCAGTCTAAGCTGCTAATCTTCAAGAGGCCACAGAAGAACAAAATAAACAACATAATTGGTGGATGGTGACTAGCAGGGGAATCCAGGATCCGTCCTATTTCGGATTTGTCAGCTAACTGGATTTACCTGCATTTAATTAATTAATTGTATATTTGAGGTATCTGCGAAGTCCGAGGCCGACAGACAGACAGACAACATAACAATCTTTCTCTGGCCAGGGCAATAGCAAAAATATTCAGATATCTTCGAACCAGCCAATCAGGTGCTTCCTCCAGAGGAGCACTCATAGCTTAAAGAATCTTTACTTATGCATATATATATATATATATATATATATATATATATATATATATATTTAAAATGAATCATGTAGTGTTTTTAATATGCTGCAAAATGAGGCCCCAGTTTCCCACAGGAGTGGGTGGCTATAGACATATACCATTCCATTTGAATAAGGCATTTAGAAGACAAATTTCGCCGAGAGATGATACTATCATTTCGTAGTTTCTTTACAACCGCTTTACAACTAACATGGTTAACAATAATAAAATAAAGCTCATAACAATTACTCAGTTAAATAAAAACACAAAAGTACATACTAATGACCAGTCATATTTAGATAGGTCATGTAGTTCATGGTAGGCGAAGATTGAAGTCTATTGTTTTTTGTACACAGAGTTTACGCTGTATATGATTAATCCAAAGTGCTTCCATCACCTTTAATAACCTTGAATTAGAGTTATGTGAAATAATTGTGAAGGAGTCATTAATACTGATTTTTTGACCTGACATTAATAAGTGTTTTGCAATGGATGGTGATGCTGGATTTCTATTCAGATTAACCGCGTTGGGATTTTCTATATGATTAAGTAACCATTTTGGAACATATTCTTTTCGACGACATTGGAACATTCTATTGGTTCTACCTATATAGGTGTCACGGCAGCTGCAGGTGAACTTGTAGATACAGTTTGAAAGAGATTCCACAGAATTTCGTCCTTTAATCGTAGGTACAGGGATCGAAAATGTTCGGCAAATGAGAAAAAGATGCGGTGTAGAATGTGCGTTTGATGACTGACCGAAGTCTTTGAGCTAGCTGTCAACTGCATAATCTGGTTGCCCTTGAATGGCAGATTAATAAAGATAGCTTTCTTTGGTACAAGTGCTGTCTTTTCGAGAGGTGGTTTTTCTTTACTGTGACAAGTGATAAAGTATTCCGGATAACCATCAGCTAATAAAACTGAATGTTTTGATGTGGTTTTGTTCTCTGAGCTGGATAGTTAGTTTGCGAAGCTTTCATCACCTTACTGGGTGACATCTTCAGCGCATACTTCAATTTGAAGTATGCGCTGAAGATGTCACCCAGTAAGGTGATGAAAGCTTCGCAAACTAACTATCCAGCTCAGAGAACAAAACCACATCAAAATTATCCACCTGAGCTACAAATCTTCTCTATCATATCTAAATCTTACGAGCGGGAAAACTGAATGTATATGTTGAAACTCCCCCATCAATGTGTCACTCGTGCATATTTTTGGGCCCTTGAGAACAAACATTTCACTATAGGGGAACGTTTATACTGGATAGGAACAAAAATTATAAAATGAAGATATTATCTACACCATGTCTGTTTATGAAAAATAGATCGTTGAATCGTTCCATCATCATCCTAGTCCCAGTAATATCCAGGAAACCGAGTTTGTTATTCAATTCGAGTTCGGAAGTCACTCGGATATTTGAATGAATATGATTAAATAGGGTAATAAAGTTTTCAATTGATTTACTATTATTACCAATAATGAGTGTATCATCTACATAACGTTTATACAGCATAAATTCTCCAAGCATACCTTGCATTTGTCTCTCCAACATGACAACATGACCTATTTAAATATGATTGGTCATTAGTATCCACTTTTGTTTGTTTTTTACTCAACTGAGTAATTGTCACACACTTTGTTTTATTTTATTATTGCTGACCATGTTAGTTGTGAAGCGGCTGTAGAGAAAGTAAGAAATGACGACACCATCTCGCGGCGAAATTTGTCCTCTTAATGCCTTATTCAAATTTATCAAAGGGACTAATTGTTTTAATATACCATTCCAATCCGTTCTTTAGACACGCCCAAAATCCCTCAATAGAACCTTTAGAAGTACCAATTATAGGATACAGTAATTTTGATGAGTGACTGACCTTATGATGATAGTCATATTGCTCAGTATTTCAAATGTATGCTGTCGATAACCAAATATTAACCCTAAATAAGGGTGAAACTTGCATCGAAGATAATGAAAAGCATTCCGTTATAGTGTCGCGCTGCTTCATTGACAGGGATGCCCATTATCCCCATTTCTATTCAATTTCATCATAGACTAATGGACTTAACTCTAACTCATTTCAGAAACTCAGGGGATTGATTTGCTACTGTCAGAGAATAATCTCGTTGACTTAGAATATGCAGATGATATAGTCCTAGGCGACGACGCTGACAAAATGCAGTCTTCTGAACACCTCGAGCTGCAATCTACGAGTGTTTGTCATGCGATTCGCTCCCGCCAAACGCAAGATGATGTTACAGAACTGGAATACAGTGACTCCCAGCTTAGAAATAGGGAGTGAAGTGGTAGAGCACGTTGACCGCTTCACTTATTTCGGAAGTGCCATCAGCCAGTGCCAACGGGTTGATCTCTGACGAAAGCTCAGCACGGATACAAGGGGCTCGTTTCGTATATGCCAGTTTACGCCGTCTCTGACGTAGACGAGATATCCGACTATCGACCAAAGGGTGGGTGTACTGCTCATCAGTCCGCTCCGTCCTCCTTTATGGCTGGCTGTGAGACCTGGCCACTGAGAGTGGAAGACACGGAAAGATTAGCTGTCTTTGATCATAGGTGCCTGCGTTCTACCTCCCATGTGAAGTGGTATAATGAGGTGAGCAATATTGAGGTGAGGTATCGGTCGAGTGCTAGGTAAGGAGGGGAAATCAATTGACGAGGTTGTGAAGTTGTGAAGACTGAGGTGGTTAGGACATGTGTTGCGTATGCCTAGTCATCGCCTTCCTCGACAATGGGCAATGTTAGCTGATATTGGATTGGTCAGGCTGGAAAAGAGCTAGCGGAGGTCAAACAAAAACGCGGCGGAGGTGTTTTTCACCGAAGTGAGAGGGCAAAAGCGGATGCCCGGCGCTCTTCACCGGGTTGACTGCCCATTGGATGACAGTCTAGGGGAGATAGCTAAACCCTGATTCCAAACCTCCAACGACTGGCATATGAAGCTCACCGGAGCTCACCGGCAGACGTATGGACAAAGGGCTTATTGGATGCCCTGGATGTCTGACCCCATTCAAAACGGCGTATGAACCGGACTCCGGTCACCGGCTCCCTACTCTACTCCTACTGCCTTGTTGGTTGCACTTGGTTGTGTAAAGGCTAGAGCTTCACTCTCAAACAAAAGGCCGAGCGATGCTGGGGACATCACTCCTACCTAATTCCCATGAAACTTCATGAACTCTCTACAACATCAACCGAATTCCAGTACTGGTCCAACAACGTCGACTTCGGTGGTTTGGCCAGGTTCTGCGCTGACCAGATGACGATCTGGTCAAATCAGTTCTAAATCCCTCGCCATCTCCATCTTGGCGATGTCGCAGGGGTGGACAGCTGGAAACATGGCTTGGTACAGTCAAGGCTGATATGGAGTGCCTGGGGCTACAAACCGTCTTTGGACTCCGTCTGTGGAACAAGAATTGGATAACCCTGTCGCAAAACCTTACATCAGATCGCCGCACCTGGGCAGCGATGATTCGAGATGTTCATGAACCCGGCTCATCCTCCCATAGGAGATAGCCGAAGTATAAAAAAACATGGCTTCGTCATCAGTCAATGAAATCCACAACAGTTAGTTTAAGCCAGCCAACCACGTAGGAAGGTGTAGACTAGCTGACTGACTGGTTGGGGTCCTCGGGACGGTAAAAACCAATGGCTGGAAACAATTGGTGATATGGCTCAAAATCGTTCTCAATGATGACGCATATGCATCCACTCCTTGTGACTTATGATTTCCAATGAAACTATGTTGTTCTTCGTTATTACTATTTCTTTGTCTCACACCTCTGTTTACTGTCTCTATTATGCATTCCTTCTACTTTCTTCTCTTCTTTTGTGTGGTACATGAAGGTAGTGTGGCGATTTGAACTCCTGCACATCGGTGCAAAGTTCTACGTCGAAAACAGACAGACAGATTGACAGGTTCAATATAAATGGTATGTGTTAACAATTATTTACTCCTGTACTAGCCACTACTGACATCAATAATCCGAGAAACATAGTCTCGATTGGTAAAGATCAACATCAACTTTACAATGGATATATATACACTGTTTTACCTTCAGCGATAGATGAGGCGAATCCCTGCAAAGCCACCGATCAATTAGACTATTCTGGTAACAAGCCGATCCATAGAACATTGAATCATGGTGGGGTCACATCCGCTAGGATAATTATAATGGGAGTATTAGGCACTGGTTCTTGTCGTCACTTAACATGGCAACTCTCCGTTCGAGTAGAGTACTTCAATTAGTAAAATATACTTCGACACTCCCTTTATAGGCGTTGCCACAGAACCCCAATCCAATCAAGAAATATGAAAAATATTGATGAACACATGTTAACATCCCTACGTCCCACAAACCTGTTGAATAATAGAAACACGATCAAGATATCTTCATTTGGTCTTAACACCTGGATGACTTTCACGAGTTTGCTTTTCCTGAACCCAATTAACACCTTGCCATGACTGTGTAACCCGGAGTCTTAGAAACACCGCTACTCAAAGTGGTTCTCCTGTGATTACCACGGGAAGATTTTCTTTCCTTGCTTAAAAACCAGCATAATCAACGATATACACAGAGCTGGCTTGTATTCCTATACAGCCAGCTAGTGACTTCGTTGATCTCGTCAGTAACTCATCATCACCATCCTTGAATGTCACTGCAGTCATACTAACACGTTTTCCTCATTTTAGACTACAGATAGACCTGCAGCTACAGTTACAGTTGGAAGACGGATATCTGCATTCCACTAGGTAATGGACTAGATGACGGACAGTTGTAGCACCACTGAAGGGTGATTAAACTGTTCCTTAAAGTGGTATGCGTAACGTTCAGCTATCTATCCTGAGTGGTTATTCAAGTTATATCCTTTTCGGAGACCGTTCCCCTTAACATGAATTTTTTTAAAACATTTCCCTAATGAGTTCGAATGTATGATGGCGATTATCTGCTCCGAATGCGTTTCTTATTTGTCTCGCTTTTATCGTCCATCAACGCTCATGGTTGTCGCAAATACCCTAAGTAAAATTACGCTTCACCAACAGACTACAGGGACCAGGTATACCGTAACAATCAGTTTGGGTGAAACTGTCCAGTGGGTCGAATGTTGCAGTCATGTCTAATTATTATCTCATGGTGGAAATGTCATCAAACAACAAGAGGTCACCGACTGTAGCTATTAGCCGCGTAGTTGTACAAGCACTCTAGCTGAACTTTACCGAAATTACAGTGAACCTTTGAAGATATGAAGTGGAATCCATCAGAACAGTATATATTTTAAACATTTTTAACAGTGGTATTTAGCTATCATCTCCCACAATTACGTATACTCATAACAGTAATAATCCTCTTCGAACTGTGACAATTTGGTCAGAATCATGTTCGTGTAAATTTCCAGACTGCATCATTCATACTATCATCACTCTTTCAACTAAACCACCGAAATATTGTGTACACTTAAATATTGTCAATAAATCAGAAATGAAATCAGCCTGAAAAACAGTTCATTAGAAAGATGAGAGTTTGTTCACTATTACTCATAAAAAATATATGTGTATACAGAAACAAATTAGTACATGGCAAGATGATCAATAAGCAAATGAAAATAAACGAACAAATGAGTTTAAAGCTTTTTTATAGAAGTGGAACAACACAACTAAATAACTACGCCTAACAAAAAACATAACAATATATATATATATATATATATATATATATATATATATATATATATTTCAGTATTTCAAAGTAATGATCACAGAAACAGGGGGAAACTCTACCAAGCACTAATATAACCAGAAAATCTTAAGCTCAAGAACGGTAAAGTTAAAATATAGTGGATACGCCTGTATATGAACTTCGGCCACCAATTAAAGTGACTGGTGGTATATCTAAGTCAAAGTAAGCATCTGACAGACGAGTTCCAGGAAGGTCAAGTTTCCGTAATTACTGTGAAGCCTCGAGACAGATTGTTCTGTCACAACGGATGTCCTTTCACAATTCTCATTTCTTTTCTGCGACTCTCCTAAACGAACTAGTCATCCTATCAAGCATACGCTCAAAACGAATATAAACGTACAATGCCTGGTTTACATAGAAAAACTATGACTTCAGCCCAACATAACTGCACTACGTTAGGGTTGTATGCTTAGTCATACAAATAAGATCAACTTGAAAAACTAGAAAATCACATCAGGAGTAAACTATGAGTAAAGAACCTGCAGCATTTAATATTAACGTCCGTTAATAACATGATTATTGGCCACCAGGTTATTCTGAAGGCTCCTGGTGTTGATCCCCTATTCTACAAACTCGATCGCCTCAACTAAATGATGGGAAACCCTGTTATAAACACCACAAAAATTATCTGGTACCCCTAAATGGAAAAAGTCAAAGCACTTACCGGGGTCTAAGCACCTCAAGGCCGAATGTCGTGCACAGCGCCAAACCTTCAGAAACTATTGGACTAGTAGCATATTAGTTAATTCTAAGATCACTGTCACTTTCAGAAGAATGTTTCCTACTTACTCTCTTTTTAATTGAACATGCCTGAAAATGAGAATGCATCTTCTTTTCAAAATATGCCACGGAATTATTTTTTCCATTCTATATCCGCTGAAATGTAAGACCCCATTCGTGTGTTTCATGAATGATCATACAATATGCAGTATAGAAAGCACACTAATAGGTGTGAATTTATTAATTGATACTGAAGGCTGCGCACAAGCTCACTTCCGATATCATAAGGTAGGCCGAAAAGGCAGATTAACCGTTCTGCTTAAAATCTTCGAGCGACTTTATTGCATATCCCCTCAATGACGCTTGTTGCTATGTTGCTATTGGTTTCAAGTGGCCTTGGTTTTCGGGGAAGATTTAACTGATGTAATATTGCGATTTCGTAGACATAACTCAGGCTCATACGTGAAAAACTATAATCCTGGAATAAAGACAAGTTGTTTAGAAGGTAAGGAGGGCATTATTTTTCAGTTTATTTGTATATATACTATTGTGTATCGAGTTGCACTGAGTTCTTAGTGCATTCATTTTCATTAAGTTCATTTTCATTAAGTGTAGTAATGAAGAATGGAATTTCTTCCACATCAGTGTTATTTAATTGAAGTTTTAATCTTTGTAGGCCCTTGAAGGAATAAATTCGGCACGGAGAACTCCTGTGGAAACCGAAAGCACTTTTAGTTTACTAAATCTTACTGACTCCCTGTATAAATTTGATCTGTCAAGTGTTTATGTAAAGTCTGCTGGTGTATTCAGTAAAGTAAAAGTTGTAGTGCTTAACTCCTAGACTTGTTGTAGTCATTGGTATTGCCAGAATACTACTTACTCGTTTTATGCAGCCGAAGTATTCAATTCTCACTTTATTGAGGAAATAGTATATTGCCTGCAAAAGTAGTGCGTCAGTTTACGAGTTTCATCAAGCCTACAGAATGTTTTCTGTTCACTGAATACTGTTTGCGAATTATCCGAGAAAACACATTTCCGAGTGGGATGTAATACAAAGCTGAATTCTTAAACTGTCATCCTTATAACAGTTCAATTCAATCACACATATAATAATATGATAGTCTGTAATTGACTTCAAAGACTTATCAGGGAATATTCTCATCACCTTACGGTTTGCTGATGATATTGTCCACCTAGACTATGAGAAGTAACCCCTGATGCTGTAAAATATGAAAATAATACCGGTGTTTGATTATAGGTGTCCGCGTTCTATCTCATCAGTAAAGCAGTATAATATGGCGAGTGCTGTTGAGGTTACGCATAAATGTTTAGGTGGGGAGGGTTAGTTAGCCTTCAAGGTAGGGAAGCTGAATAGGTTGAGATGGCTAGAACACGTGCTGGCATACTAAGCCATCGCCTTCCTCCAGGGACAATGCTGACCAGCACATGTTAAGGTTTAAAATGCGTTTGGGTCGGTCAAATGAAAAAGTGATATTGGTTCATAAAATTGTTGACAGTCGGCTGGAAGAAATACCGGAGATGTGACTGCAAATCTTTGGTACTGGTACTGGTGCATTCACTCTGTGTAATCTCACATATCTATTCAACTCATGTTTTTCCTTGTCATTATTTATTCTCCCTCACATTTTCTCTCGTTAAACTTCCATTTAGTTTTATGTCTCTACCTTCGTGTGCTACATGGAATGTGGTAAATTAAACAGGTGGACTTCTCTGCAAACTCATACTGAAAGCTACTCAGAATGACAGTCTGTGCGTAACTAAATGCGAAACATTGATAAATGATCTCCAAAATTTCAACAAATGATAAGTGTAGTTCATAATCTTGCTCTTTGTCAAATGAAAAATTGATACCTTTCGGTAATCTCTTCTTCCACCCGGGACTCGTCTCCTACTTTGCAACTGGATTTGTGCTTTGTCACATTTGTACTTAGTTTTCGGTCATTCAGCATTCGCCGTTGCTGTTGACTCAGCGCCTAGATGACTTTAGTTGAATAAGGTTTCGATCGTGCAAACACGGGTCCTGGGCAGTTGATTGGTTGCATTATCATTTCTCAAATGGAATGCAGCATACTGTATATTAGGGTAAATCTTCCGCCTCGCCTGCTGGAGCTGGTGTTCCTCAGGGTATTGTTATCTCTCTTTTTTTTTCTCTCTCGTCTTACATGACCTTTCTCTTTCTAATGAGAGCAACTTCGTCAAATATGCTGGTGATCTGACCGTCTCACTTCCTGTCATGTTACAATGTGACTGCAGCAAACTTAACTGCTTCCTGTCTGTAGTCTAAGGTACGTGGTCTTACGTTAAATCCCTCTAAATGTCAGGCAGCTAACTTTCCCCTCACTCATAAGCGTGAACTGCGAAAACTGTGTCGTTCACAAGATGCTTGTATCAAAGAGGACACTGAAACAGAAACTAAGTCTAACATAAAATACCTTGGAGTAAATCTATCCTCTGGTCTTTCTTGGTCATTCTATATCTTGTCGATTTCTAAGAAAACCTTCAGTCTAGGTTACCATGTTATGTAGTCAAGACAGTCAAGAATCATTCAACCTCTCTTTTTACAACTTGTTAACTCTTGCATTGGTCTTTACTGCTCCCCCTTATTCTTTCCTGAATTACTCAAAAACGACTATGTCGTATTGTGTAGGGTATTAAGGTTGTCATTAGGGCAAGTGGTGTACCATTTCGTCAACTCGTTAATGCATTAGTTAAAAGACATCTAAACTCATGCGAGAAATGGTCTAAATCTATACTGTCTAACCCTCAACACCCCTTCTATTCTCAGCTCTTCCCTTTAATTTCATCTGATGGAACCAGAAGTCGGAATAAAAGATTATGTGATCGTTTTTGGAATTAAGTAATACCAAAAATTGTTGTCGTTTTCATTGCCAGCAGTTCACAGCCTATTGAGTTTACGCAAGTGCAATGCTCATTTCCCACTTTCCTGAGGAGACATCAACTAGGATTCTAGGAAAGTAGTACGTCAGTATGCGAATTTCATGAATCTGTAGACTACATTCCATTCACTTATTACTGAAACTAAACTATGAAGGAACTGATATTTCAAAGAAGGATGTAGTACAAGGCTCATTTCTACAACTGTCGTCCTTATTTTAGTTCACTTTCATCATAAATGTATTAACCGAATTGTCTGTTACTCACTTTAGGCCCTTACCAGGGAACAGTCTTGTCAACTTTTTGTTGTCCACTTAGGCTGCGAGAAGTGACCATTGAAACTGGAAGATATGAAAAGACTACTGGTTTTTGATCGTAGTGTCTGTACCCTTTCTTCTGTGTTAAGTAGTCTAATATGGTGAGTAATATTGGGGTTAAGCTTAGTGTTAAGTAGAAATGTGATTTCAAACGTTGTTAATGACACAGATGCATTCACTCTGTGTAATCGCACATATCTGAGCAACCCTTATATTTTTTCCATATGACTGTTCGTTTTTCATCACATGTTCATTAGAGTTCCATTTAATTTATTTTTTCTCTACCTTTGTGTGCTACATGGAACGTGGTAACTTAAGCGGGTGCACTTGTGTGCACGCTTCTATGTTGAAAATCAGTCTGTCAGAATGATCTATAGTCCAGGTATAGTGAAATGTTAAAACGGGGATAAAAATAGGCAAAATGTCAACAAATGGTAATCGTATTTTTCATTTAGTTCTTGTCTAACTGAAAAAGTGATCTTACAATAATTTCTCCTCTTACCCGAGATAACTCTCACACTCTGTCTCGTTATATCTCATTAGTTAGTTAATTTTATCACGTAGCCCAACTGCGAAGTTGAAACACATCTGATGAAATATGTTATGCTTATTACCAACCAAATATAATATTTTTCAAGTGTGGAACGTCACAAATCGAACTGCTACACTTCTGTGCTGAGTTCCATGTTAAAACTCAGTCAGTCAGCTTTGTCACTACAAATGCGTAGTGTCACAACTACCTAGTGTTAATTAGCTTAAACAATTATTCATGCCGTTTCCTAAGTACTCTATGCATTTCCCGATTCCTTAAACTGTCCAGATAAAGTGCACCGAAGAGGAAAACATAAACCAAAAGTCAGTAACATGGACGTAAGAAATGGTGTGAATAGAAGTGAATGAGACGAGTGACCTTTTATCCCTGTAGTACGCTTAAGTAAAATACTCATGTATATGAATGAGGCAAAAAGTTGTGTGACTGACTTGATATGATGATGAGCAATAGTTTGTGCTCAAAACGCCACCAAGTAATATTGCTGTCCAACACTGTGTGATTTACCAAAATAAAATCGTATCCATAATGGAGTTATACTCTACCACAGTGCCCAAGTTTTATGCTTATATCAAAAATACTTATCTTGTGCGTTATGTGTCTCCTAATTGTTTCATTTTTGTCTTCCTCATTGCAGGTTGTCAGTCTCCGTAGACATTCTACCAGATGTCGTCATGCATAGTGTCTGCAAGCAGTCTTTCAATACATCTACCTCCCGCAAAGTTATTGTTACGATGCCTTTAAATCATTTACATTTGGCCGTAATACAATTAGTGTGCTAATATTACTGATGCAATGACATGCAAGACTTGTACATGTTACTGTGAAGCTAGTTTGTAATAACATTCCCTCCATAGTAAATAGAATGCTTGTGATAACAATTCGTCATTATCTTTTCATTGTGTTGATAGTTGCGTATATATTAGAAAAAAGCTAACCTTGTCGTATCAGTTCTCTAAATTACAATCACTAAGTGCCCATACCTCTGCTGAATACCAAGTGCTACTCGTGGCCCATGAAATACTTATTACTGCATTCGTAAATAGCTATCAAACTGTTATTACATGGAGTATTGAGACAGAAGGCGTATGAAATTTAGATATTAGTGTGTATCTGAAGTAAACGACACAATATATATGTGCATGTTTCATTTCAAAACTAGAGAATTTTATAGGGTAATGTAGGAGTGAGCGCAATGAGTTAATAATGTATTCTTTACTGCATCCATCTT